ATTCACAGTCCGTTGTTAAAGTTGATACGACCTGAATTTTGAGGATAGAGAGCGAGAAGTATATTTACGCACAGGAAGTGTACATCTTTCACCAGGTGTATGTAGAATTGCCCTATATACATAGTTGAAGGCTAATTTGAAGTTGAGAAAAACCACAGTTGTTGGCAGGTGGTATTTATGGCGCTGCGCAAGCATTTGACGTAATGCGAAGACGTGTTCGGTGCACACCACCCGGGCGAAACCCAGTATGCTATTATCGGATTTGTGTCCGAAGTGTTTGGTTAGATGCCACAATAATTGTGAAGCCAGGAGTAATCGTTTACAGCACCCTTTTCGAATAGAGTTTAAGGATTGGTAGACTTAAGTTGTCTGGAACACGTTCTTATTTCAACCCAGTTAAGGCGGGGCACAAAAATGCACTACTGTTTCTAAGTAGTGCCGGCGGGAACCCATCGGGCTCGGCAGAAAGGCATGCCAGTACTTCAGAGTAATGGTAGTGGTCCAGACACTGAGGGAGGATCTTAACTCAGACCATGCTTGAGCTGAATGGGTCAAATAAAGGGTATGTAAATATAAGTTGGTGGTCAACTAAACAAGCCGCCGCACCACTCTAATGTCCATTTTCGCATCTATGTTGGCTGAACATAGATGATTCAGTTTATTTGAAAGTCATTTGGGAAGGAGGGTAAACGAGAAAAGTGAAGAGACTTCGTGCTATCCCACTACAAGCATTCCGAGGTACCTATAATATCCAGGAACTGAATACAGGGACGCCAGTAAAATCGATTGGTGAGCGTATCTTTCAGCGCTGCTAGCCAAGTATAGGGTGAATTGCGCGATACCCATACTGTAATACAAGCTGCGCCGACAGTATAGCTCAAAAGGTAAGCCACTTCCGTTTACGCCACTCTGAATAAAACACGGATAACAACATTTCACCAGACGATTCGGTGCGCACAATACGTGACTTGTCCAAATTAGCTTTTGGTGCCGGGTACGCTTTTTGATTAGTTTTTGCTACACGATCGAATGGCCATTTCCTAATTACCCATTGGCATCGACCTACACAGGTTATAGTTCTCTTGTGAGAGTTGAGTCGTTCCAGGTCGGGATTAGAAGGAAGACAAAATTGAAGGGTGTAACGTACGCTTTAATCGTTTACTAGTGATAATACTTCAGCCGAAAATATATTGAAAATTACCAGCCAATGATATATGAAGAGTACGATTAAGAGTATCACTAAGTGTGTAACTTTACGGCGAACGAGTTCGTAAAGAAAAGCTGCGGTATTTACATGGAATCATTCACGCCTCTCTTGCGCAGATTATACGGGTATCGTATAAGAACAGTTAAGTGATTTCCTCTGTCTGTATTAGAACGGGATAACGAAGTGTCTTTAAAAGGCAATATTTCCGTTTTGAATAGTCACGGTAGACTGATAGTGTCGGGGGAGGTTCCTCCTCAGGAGCCAAGTGACGCAGGGAGACGGTTTCGCGTTTGTCATTTGGATGTACTCTAGGGGCGTGCTTTGGATTATGAGAGGCGAGCTTCACTTCCTCTACCAGAAGGTCGTATTTAGAGGCTCAATCGTTTCGTTCTAAAAGTATCGGCCCAGGGACGGTAAGCCAGGTTGACAAAGAGACACCGTTGGCTGATTGGTGTGTGAACTGGTTACAGTCGATACTAGTACATAACGGGGTTCTGATATACTGGAGAGTATCAAAAAGGACAACCTCGCAGTGTATGGCAGGCGAGTGTCGTGTTTTTAGAGCGAGTCAGATGGTCTTTCAAAGGATGGCGTTAAGTTGTTCCACTTGGTGATTACATTGTCTACCCAACCCAATCTCTGAAGCTGTCCTCACATCCCAATAATCTGCCGGTGTCGATTTTACTGACAGAGATTACCATAATTTGGTGAAACCTAACCCCGATCAAAAACTAGTTTTTCGTGCACCCAAATCTGTTCGTCACGGAAGGGTCTCATCCCAACAAGGAATAAGACATTACTGTCTCATTCCTGACTCGGCTGTGCACAGCAGGTGCCTTTTGAGCAGCACTGGACTCTTCGGTTTTGAAAGCATTTCCACCTTATCGGATAATTCGCCAGCGGTCAACCGTTGGGCGATCTGAGTGTGCGACTTTTGGGGCCGACCTTTTCTAACCGTCCTTCCTCGGGTAAGGCAGCATCACTGCCTCGATAAATGTGGACATGCTGGTCGTCTGGGGGAAACATCTTGCTGGTCTCACACTCATATCGCAGAGGACAGTACGACTTTACCCCCCCCCCCGACCGTAGTACGGGGTCTCGCTGCTCTTGGTCTGACTGCTCCCCTTTGGCTTTCCTGGCATGGTTGCACCTTTTGGAACGAAGATCCAGCCAGTACAGCCCGCAGGATCATTGCAGCTCTCAAGCCCGACCACGTCAAGGTGGCGTGTTTGGGTAGGCACCTCTACCGGTCCAAAGGCTTACCAGCTGTTTGCACCACTTCGTATTAGGCATGAAAAACAAAGCATTGACCGACGATTATTTGGCATGCGCAGTCCATGATAAGACCACTCGGACACATCCTTCATTTGAACTCCATTGCACACGGGTTTTCTAATCGTTGCGCTGTGAATTCTTTGGCACCAGCCTACGTTAATCATAGTTCTGAGGTAACGGTTATTGCAAACCTAAAGGCCTTTCAGTTCCGCTGCTTTCAGGGACCATAATCGTACAAAAACCCTTACTACAGCCCCGTACGAACGTCGCTCGCCACTCAATGATGTCACTCCGTCGCCCTACGTGTCTGGAATTTACAAATGCGATCTTGGCTTCAGAGTTTTGCATTGACCTCATTTACCATACTACGACTGGAAAGCGTGCTACCTCCAAGTTACGCAGAGCGTTGCACAACTGCTTTTCCCTAGATCGTAACTGACGTGTTCAGTGACTACGTGTCCAGGGGCATTACTCACACTTTGTGCATGCAAATCCTACGCCCAAGCGCGTCTGCGCTGTCTTCCTTTTCGATGAGAAAAATGCTGTTACCTTCATACTCCAGGTCAAGGCCTCAGCAACTGCTTGAGTATCAGAATTTCGAAAGCTGTCTAGGGTACGTCGCATTGTCTTGTAGATCGAGTAGAGATAAAGAGTTTACAAACGGGGTGGTAGGTCCTCGGGATACTTGAGAGAAGATATGCGTTGTTGGTAGTGTGAGGAGATTGGGGATTTTTGTGGAGATTTCGTCCTGTAAGTGAAGCCAATCTGTGCTGAAAGGCCGAGGAGCACTGTACAGCTGTTTCATCTTTATTAGGAATCATCAGCAGTGCGCATCTCATGAAACTCCGGAGTCTCGAACCCGCTACCTCCTGGCTAGTAGTTTGAGCACTTAACCATTCGGCCACGAGCGGCTGATCAGCAGTGTGATTAACTCGCACTTGGACAGGATATAGCGCCGCTCATCCTTCAATCACGGGATCCACAAAAGAAGTCGTTGCTCGAGGAGCCAGTCAACACGTGTGACCGCGTAATGTGGATCCCGTGATTGAAGGATGGGCGGCGCTATATCCTGTCCAAGTGCCAGTTAATCACACTGCTGATCAGCCGCTCGTGGCCGAATGGTTAAGTGCTCAAACTACTAGCCAGGAGGTAGCGGGTTCGAGACTCCGGAGTTTCATGAGATGCGCACTGCTGATGATTCCTAATAAAGATGAAACAGCTGTACAGTGCTCCTCGGCCTTTCAGCACAGATTGGCTTCACTTACAGGACGAAATCTCCACAAAAATCCCCAATCTCCTCACACTACCAACAACGCATATCTTCTCTCAAGTATCCCGAGGACCTACCACCCCGTTTGTAAACTCTTTATCTCTACTCGATCTACAAGACAATGCGACGTACCCTAGACAGCTTTCGAAATTCTGATACTCAAGCAGTTGCTGAGGCCTTGACCTGGAGTATGAAGGTAACAGCATTTTTCTCATCGAAAAGGAAGACAGCGCAGACGCGCTTGGGCGTAGGATTTGCATGCACAAAGTGTGAGTAATGCCCCTGGACACGTAGTCACTGAACACGGACATGCAGTTGAACGCTGCAATAGGTCCTGGTCTTACCGTCTCGAGTTCCAGTTTAGTTTGAGAATCCGAATTGCTAACAGTAGGTATCCATGAGAATTGTCCAAAGTGCTCGAAACTTCACTCTTAAAGTGGTCGCGCCAGTCTCATCTGTTTCGCTTACATATTTTTCGAAACTTGACTGAAATAATCTTCGGCCATATTCGAAATTCTTCGCTTCTTCCATTTCTTCAGTCTTACGTGTTCACCAGGCTTCACTATCGGCATGCACGCTAATTTTACTGGATGTCCGACAGCGACCCGAGGCTAAATCGTGTTCGAGATCGGTGAAAACATCTCATCGAGATTAAGACAATGCCACTGTTATGTCTTATATCCAGTGCTTCGGTGCCATGTTGCAAGGCGGTATTGTGAAAGCATGCAGTGATTTCGTCTTGCTGTGAATTAATGTTTGATGTGTGAGTATTTGGAGTAGTTGCATTCAACTCAGTTAACCTGTCTGTTCTTAACACGCTTCCTCAACAACGAATGTCTTGGAAGTTTTTGAATATAGTCCGTTTTACTACGGCATATGGGAGTATACAGAGAGCTCTTCAAAATTTTCCGTACGTGGAGTGCTTTCCGACAAGGATATCCACTCTATTCATTCCTATCTAATTCCTTGATGGATTTAATGAGGCGAACGCTGGAAGGTCTGAAAAACTCCTTCGTTGATAGAGTGACTGGCGAAGATCGGTATCCGTTTCAATTATGTTGTGACAAGGCTTCTAGCTTCACTGATTCTTCGCAGTTTTACAACAAATATCGAACGATTTAAACCGACTGCAGGCGGTACTGACCACCTCTTCACACCCCATCAGACGCACAGTCAACTCACAATCTTGATGCGCCTTGACTGCAAGATTCTGTCGGTTGGTCAGTTCTAGTAACCACACATTCTCAGTAGAATATGCTCCAGAGGTTTGTGAACATAATCTGGTCCTGAGTGTTTGGGATAGTATGACGAGCTTTCTAAAAGTCTTCCCGCAAAAGGCGGTACGCGACGAGAATGCCCATTCTCCGTTCTTGTTCAACTTCGTCCCCGATGAAATACTGAGGCGAACGCTGGGAGGTTTTCAAAATTCCGGTGCTCAACTCATTGCTGGTGAGGACCTTATCGATCTGGAGCGCACAGACGATATCGTCCTCATGTTTGAAGACGAAGGTGAAGCAAAAGCTGTGGTGCCTCAAAGGTTTGTCCTAGATATACGGAAATTCCGCGAAACCCCTAGTGACCGGTGATGACTCAGGTTTTTTCCTAATGAAGCTCCACTCTTATACACTTGCGTGGAAATCGTTTTCGGAAATAGGACTTTCAGAGTAAATATGGTGATTTCACTTGCTTCACACAATTGCTCCAAGTGCTGCGGTAATAAAACTGCATACGAAAAGCCAGTTTTTATCTAGTTATTTCGCATATGTTGACGTTTCTGGGAGTAATGTCTCTGAACTGTGGAGGCCCGAGACGAATTGACTGGCCACCATACCAGACGTTAGATCAGCTGGTGAACACTTGTTCTATCCTGTTTGCTTGCTTCCGGCAAGCGGTTCTCTTGTTACTCATTCACACTCTTTTCGAAATGACCTCAAAAATAATTGCTACTCAGGTAGCTACTGCGAAAGAGGTCCCTTTCACTCAATCGTCCTAGCAGATGTTTTTACAAACACAGTGTGCAGAACCGCATGGCTGACGTCCTAACCGGTTTGGCAGACCATTAGTTGTCAGCTGTACGTGAGACCTGGCCGTCTCACACTAACCGATGACACATGAAGCAGTCTTGGTCAGTGACTCAAAATGATTCGTTGTTCTTTGGTTCCTGGTGTACCTTAATGGATAATTTCTATTCGAGGATTGCAGTTTTTGGGTCTTGCGGGATAGGCGTTTTGTTCACAGTCACACCACTCTCGTTTGAACGGTCGTCTTCCTGTTCTAGCGTAATTATTTTGTTGAGTCCACACCAAAAGGAAGCACTGGACTCGAGTTTCGCTCTTATTAGAGCTCATCAGCAGTGTGTATCCGATGGCCTTGCCGGGATTTGAACCCCAGATATCTGACATGCCCGGGGAACGTGTAACCACTACTCCACTAACACACGTTGGACGAATCTGAATTTTCACGTCTGAACAGGCGAACGTGTTCACGCTTGAGCGATGTAATTGGTGTGCCTGACTCATCGAACGACAACCCAGTAACTATCCTGGTTGTGATGATCGATTGACCCGCCAGTCAGGACTTCCCAGCTAGGTAGCGTGACACACGCTTGAAACCCACTGGGCAAGTTTTTGGTTGTAGTTTTGGGGTTTTGTGGGATAGATATTTTGTTCATAGTCGAGAATCGCTTTCTCTGACATTCACTTCCTTGACTTGAGGATGTAATCCTTCAATGAAAGCCTTTCGTTAGAAGCACCCTTAAAGTGCCCCTCCTGCTCGGTTTTTGGCAAACGAACCAATACGAAATCTTGCTCCGAATACTATGTGGCACTCTGAGTTGGACTATAGTGCTCGAGGAAGTTCCCGATTCTCAGTCTACTGCTTGCGTGAGCGTCGCGAAAACCGGTCGGTTATGGTTGTGTGCGTGAAAGTCACTTTAAGTCATCGAAGGGGTGGGGATCCGGCTATCACATGACTTCACAGACGCAATTCATCTGGTAGCCTAGTTGAAATGTTTAGTCGTTGTTACCAAAACAACGAGCCGACTTGGAAGTGTTCAGATTAAAAGTCTTGCGTGCAAGCAACAAGGGAGATCAATTGAGTCGGTGTCCATCGATGATGTTGATGATGTTGGATGGAACGAGAGCATTTACTGGTGGCTGCAGGTGAATGAAATATTGCGTGAAGATCGGTACAGCTGGACTGGAGCGGGACACATATAGAGGCTTTGAGAAAAATCACTCCAAGTGGCCTCTATTGTTAGCGTTTATTTGGTTGGTAATTTAGGGTCACTCGAACTGGAGGAGATGAAGTGATAAACTACATAACACTCCCTAGGTTTGGGTGATGGTTGTAGACACATCACCGTCATTCCTTGTCTGTCTCCGGATGCTAGCTGCTCCATGAGACCAGGGATTTGATACCAGCTGCGAAGTCTTATAAGCGACAACCGATCTACTCTCAGAAGTTGCTCCACCAGCTTCTCTCCATTTGTGTTGATTTTCTGAGTCTACTTTCTTTTTCCAGATGCTATCAAGTTAATGAAACAGTCACTTCAGGTGTCGTGTTCGCCACTGGTCTCTGCAATACCGCGACCAAGCAGTGCTGAAACGGACTCCAGCGACTACTACACTTCAGTTGTATATGAGTTCCAAGACGGCGACGAGTCCAACAGTCTTCGTTCGCTTGGATATCAGAAACCGAAGCACATGTGGATGGCGAAAGATCAGGCACTACTCAACTCATTGAAATCTTCCAGTCCATCAGCGCCTTCCATTACTGAGCTAAGCACGTCTTCGTATGTTGATACTCCTCCATGTTCACCTTCTGCTAATGGATCCGCGGCGTGCATCATCGACTCTGGATTACCAAGTGTGTCAGTCGCAACCTCACCATATCATTCGGTTCATCTTCCAGACTCACCTACGCTGGAAACTAGCACCCGTCAGTCAGCATTTGTCGCGCCCTCACCGCTAAATGCAACAACCAGCAGCGCCTATAGTCGTTCGCCGCCTGTCTCAGTCGACGGGTTGAGCACTTTGTGCAGCGTGAATTCTTGTCTTTCCCCGCCTTCCGTCACTGATGTTTGTCCTACTCTGTCTGCGCAGATGACCGAGCCGTCCTTATCGAAACCGATCGCTGATTCCAACCGCTGTGATCACCCGTCCTTAGCCGAAGGCGTGATATCAACAGAACTGAGCCCTATGAAACAGGAACCAGTTGACAAGCCCAAAGGTATCTTCGCCCGGACTACCAAACGCAGTAGTAATCGTTGTAAAAGTACCCCCGTAGAACCGCGCCGAAGACGAACAGTTCGCCCCAGACGATCAGATACCGCTGTTTCCAATGAGTCCTTGAAGTTCGGACTGAAGGTGAAGTTACCTTTGCGTTCTATAAGTCAACTACCTGGTTCTTTGGAAAGTGGCGCTTTGTCATCACCGTCTCCAGTTTCCGTAAAGTCCACCGCCAGTGACTGTACATTGGTGAGATCCCAATCTTCAAAGTCTTCACCAGACCGCCCTACAACAGTACCAGGTGGATTGAAGATTCGTCTACGACGGGATGACATAACTTTTGATCTCTCCTCCAAACGCACCAAACGGTTAAGAAACGGTAATTCCTCCGGTAGCACCTTTCGAATCGTTGAGTCCTGGTGTGACACGGATGCACCCGGTGGTGAATTTTCCAGGCGGAAGATGGCTTCAACGTCACCATCGTTATTGTTCACCTCTTGTAACGGTAGTGTGCGTGTGGGTGATATTGTGTGGGCGAAATTAGCTGGTTATCCCTATTGGCCTTCAAGGGTTAGTGCAATCTGGGCACGCACTGCACATCAACTGGCTCAGGCTACGCCACTTCCACCCCAACAAACTGGCGACTCTACCTCATCTCTCTCCGTCCTTGCCACGCCATCTGATCCAGCCCTTGCTGCCGGCTATACTGCTCGTGTCGATTGGCTCGCATGGGACCAGTGCTCATATCTCAGTTGCGCCAAACTTTATCCCTTCAAAGAAGCTTATGAAAAGATGTACAACCCGCGCACACGTGTCAAGGGTTATGCAGATGCAGTTCGCTTAGCTAAACGGTTCGCCGATGATCCCGAATCACTGACTGATTGTGTAGAATGTCAGCTCCCAGATCTTTCCCCAAACGCGAAATCCTTTTCAACTTTATCCAGCCAGGTGTCTGCGCCCCCGAGTACGGATAGTCACTGGTCAGCAACCAACACTCTTCCCTGTTCTCTAGAACCACCTCTGTCGAATGCAAGTAATCCTCGATCAAGTGAAGTCATTGAAAAAGACACTGCATCTGTTGTTTCTGACACAGTGGCCGATCAGATTGATGTGCTTCACAAAGTTTCTTCGGCACTTGATAGTCCGACTTTATCGGATTCCGCACTGCGTGCATTGGGACCTGGGGACAGGAATATAGAGTTATGTGTTGCAAATGGTGGGTCTGCCGCCTGGGCACCTTTACCTCAGTTAGATATATCTGGATTCGGAGATTTCGTGTCACATGTGCCCACTTTTTCCGAAGATGAAGATGAAATAGACGAGTCGGTTGCTCGTCAGCTACAGCTAGATTTTGGCCCTTGTGTGTGAATGGTGTGTCAACTACTTGCCGATAGCTGCAGTCACTCCGTATAGTGTTATCTGGCAATTGTGATATCTGATGCTCTTCTGGGTTCACACTTCTCCTAGCACTGACACACACTAACTGGCCAATATTACACTTTCTATTTTCCATGTTTTCGTTCATTTCATTTGGCGCTGGATCTGATTGGAACGCGCTTTCTTGTTGGCGTGATTGTGTGTACATAGCCCTCTTAACAACGTCCTCCTATGACTACCTGATCTTGACCAACTGTACCATAGTCTTAATCAATATCCTCTGTCCGGAGTCCACGTGATTTAATGTATTTTTCTCTTCAATGAAGCCGCTTTGTATACTTCACAAGTTGACTGTGTTACTAATGTTGACCTACCACACTTCCCTCTGACGCTCTCTTCCACTTTCCACTATTCAGTTGGCCTTTCAAACAGCGGTAGTAACGTAAGAATGAAATATCGGTCTACTGTCTCATTCCGGCATTATTTTGTAACGCATACAACTAGCATGCCTGCTTCTTGTCTGTTCCGCTCTTAACGCATGGGACAAACTGGTTGGTCAGGGATTTCCAGCTCTGCCTTGTCCGCGTGTCGTTTGCAGAATAAAAAGAAACGAAGAGCTGCTTGTGCCGACTTTTTTTTATTGCCACCACTACTATCGTGATTCTCATCATCTTTTGACTACTTGACAAAGACTGATTCTTGATTTGTGGGTATTTCTCCTACGTGCCTCAGCAACCCTCTTCCTTCCCTCCCATCTCTGTGAGTTGTGAATTAATTGTACAGGCATGACAACGTCGCAGTCGTTTTCTCACATTCGAGCTAAGTGCACACTTCACGCGCGTCCATCCGATACACGGCCTATTTTATTGGAGCCACTGATCTCTCAAACAAACACTGTTTACCCACTTTATTGACTTGTTGACGACTTTTTGGGAGGCAGTCATTTGGGATGACAGTTTAAACGAACGAATCGGTATCGCAATTGATTACACTTGAGGATCAGTATTAGGTAGCTAGTGGTGAGACATATGGATCCTATGGTGACGCTCGTTGGTAACGGTGCCGAAATGAAGCCTTTCTTGCAGGAAGAAAAGACCCTTGCATTTTGGCAGGTACAGTTCCTTGCAATTTTGGGTCTAGACACTGGTTCGCTCCACAGGTCACAAATGACAATCTTCGTTTTGATGTATTTGCTGATCACGTCCGGACATTCCCGAAGCCTCTTGGATATCCTAGAGAATCACAGTTTTCTCCTAACGGCGGTCATGGTTTCGATTGTCTCAGTATGTCTTAACTCGGGCCGAATGTTAGTGAGTTTCAGCCTGTAGGTTCTGACCGCCTTAGTCCGTCGTCACATCCCATGGAAAACAACAGACTGATCATCCTGTGTAGTCGCATAGCTTGGCTGCCGGACTGGGTTGTAACCTAGCTAGCTGATTTATCGTGGCACCAATTGTGTATCTACGCGACTAGCTGCAGCTTCTCCGGTCGAATCTAAATAGGGTGTTCCATAAACAAGAGATGTAAGCAACGTGTATCCAGTGGGGGAGTATCCTTGGTGTCCTGTCTAGCAGAGGTAATCAACTGATTTCGCAAGGCCCACCCTTTTCGTTTTTAAGATCCCTCTTTTGGACATATCGAGAGGAAGTATTTTATATTATACGAAAGCCGCTTAAGTAGCAAGCAGAAAGATTGGGCCCCTACCATCATTGTATTGGCGGTTTCCAGTAGCCTTCAAGCAGGACTTACTTTAACTAGAACAGTCACTTTTCTAAATTTGGTAAAGATGTTAGCTAGTTGGATGCAGGGAAGCTCTTTTATTGGTTTGCGACGACCAAGTCCGTCGTTATGGACTCCGAATGACCACATTTCTCCGTAATCCATAAGAACTTTCGGAGAAAACCCGTGGATGAATTCCTGTTACTTCATTGAAGGGTATACATGCCAAGGTTGGTTTTGTCGTTCCAAATCTGTTTTCGACGTAGTTAGACCAGTATGAGTAGAATTAATGCTAGTGTTGCGGTGTTCACGACGGCTGGATAGCCCGCATGCAGTTTGCAAATAAAAATGTCAATGATTTTCGAGATAGCTTACGTTTCTATGTTCTGCTAGTGGCAAATATTGCGTTCCTTGCGAGGAGGACTCAACCACGACGCCCACCATCAATTTAATCAACAGAAGTCGAATGCTTCCACAAACGCCAACGCACTTAACTTGATGACGCACAACACGGTGAACTGTGGATAAACTGTATGATGAGTGTACCGAAGACGGGTGGGTGAACAAAGCAGAGCGAAGTCCGTTGAACAAATGACTTGTCGGGCTGTGTCCTCACTTTGTAGACCAGGTCCGAATAAGTGATGTGCAATTCTAGGTCGGGTGGTTGCTCATCGGGTCGCACTGCCAGATGCGTTAAATTCGTCCAGATCCACCAGCTGATGGATGGAGATGTCACCACCAAGGGGGAATTGCTGCCACTGCGTTTCGGTTGGTCGTCCTGGCTCGGGAAACCTGTTTGTTGCTTGTACGTATACATGTATAACATTAGGATGAGGGTAACTGGACTGCAGTTCTAGTTGTTACACGCCTATGGAGTGCTCGGAGCCAGTGGCATAGTACCTGAACTCTAATATGGTTTCATTTCGGGTCATGCCTATTCTTAGGCAAGTTACAGTAATATTCTGTATACTCTACTCCGGGAGTTTTCGAATTTCTGCTGCTCGATCTGACCACATGGCACGGCGCCAGTACAGGGAATTCACGCCACATCGTTAAGCCTAGAGAATTGTAGCACGGGAATACCAAGCCAACCATGATCATGGTGTCATGTAAGTAAGCCGTCTTATGCGGTTTGCCGTACCTTGGGCATGTCCGTTAATTTGTCGGAGTGACTGGATCTAGAGCCGATTGTTCCTGTTTGCCTACTGATCCTCTATATCCCCTATATATAGGTGTCATTTCAGAGAGTGACCGCTCAATTTAAAACAGTACAAATCTTGATGATTGTAAGTTACTTCATGTTGACCGTAGTTATTTCATTGCCCTCCGTCAGAAACGGTGGCGTCAATTGCGTAAATCCGGTAATCACTTACGACATCAGCGTGGCCCAGAGGATTGTTGTTTCCAGACGTTCGGACTGGGAATCGACACTACAAACAAAATTCGTACGTAAAACGTGTACGGCCGTTTTCCCGGATTGCCAAATGCGTGTGGAGGCTATTGCATGAACTATTACTACAATCAACTTGTGGACTGTGCGTTGTTTCTGTGCGGTTTGAGCACGCTATCTGAAGGAGGTCTGCGGTGGAAAAATGTTCCTGAGTATGATGTATTGATGTCTTAGTGGAAGCTTCAGAACACGGCTTGAAAAATTCGAAGATGGGTTTCGATTAGCTGGCAACGCCAATGAGAATGACAATGCACCTGGTCACGTGTCACACCTACTGAGTCTCTTCAACCTTGATGTACACATTGTAGGGATAGCTGTGCTGTGATTCACAATGATCCTGGGTGGCAGGTGTGTCGTGGTCGATTAACCAAGGTCATTGTGCGTGCTGAGTTGATTGTCAGTATATTCCATCCAACGGACCTTTTGCAAATCTGGACTGTGAACCCTTACATTCGTGTTTTATTTACCAACTCCTAGGAGAAGATTCATAATTGTCTCGATGTTCAAGTGGAACGGAAGGTTAATGTAAACTGGGGAAGTGCGTCCAGCTGTAGCTTCCTTTCGGTGGCGGACTGCCATGCTGCCAGAAAGAAGCACGAGGGCTGGGATACTGCCAGGTTGCCCAAGCCTAGACAGGGGAAGTCGAGAGGCAGAGGTCAGGTTCGAAACATGGGCTTTTCGGTCAGTAGGTTCGCGCTCTAACCACTGAGCCATCTCCTCCCTCGGGAAGTGTGCCCACTGGTGACCCTTTAAAGGAGTGAGCAGGTCTTGGGCTACCGGAGAGTTCTCAGCAACCCTGTTAATAGTGTTGCCCGTCAAGGAAGTATGCCGCTATTGCACCAACTGAAACATGAGTCGTCCTTTGTGTAATACATTCAGTTGAAGAGCACCATTACCGAGGATTCGTTCGTCTGCCGATGAAACCAAAGAAATTTTCAGGCAAATATAATTCTCAGACATATTTTTACGGTTCTGTCATACATGTAGCAGTGGGGACAATCCCTTGTGAATAGGTTGAAAACTAGATACGAATGTAACCGACACGGAAGAGACGGAATTGCAAACATGGCGAATACATGTTATGAGTTCTCAGATGACTGTTTGAAGTCATTCAGAACAGTGGTGATGCGCAACTCCACAATACTATGATAGGATAGGCTGTCAAACCACAATAAAAAGATACCAGACTGCGTTTCGTGTGACTGACGGACAAGCCAAATACAAACGTGTCCAGCGATATTTGGTCCAAGCCATTTGAAGGCTTTCAGTGACAAGTGAATAACATCGCACCGTGTAGTTGCGCTAACGTACATCCTTGTAAAATGCTAATTCCTGTCTGAAAACACGGAAGAAATTCGAGAATCACCGCGTCTAACAGTGCGCATTAAGATTGACACTCGTTCAGCTACTGAAACGTCGAAAGTAGTTCATAATTAATCCGCTTTGTATCATCAACCCCGTCGCTTCGGACTGACAATAAGCACGAATTTCTTGTTCCACCAGTGCTCTCACGTACGTTTAGGAGGCACTTTTCCTGGTCATGCTAATGACACTTCATCTGTGTAGTCTCTAAAAATGCAGCACGATATTGCTCATACCTTGATGCATCACAGCTACAGTAGTTACGCTAGCCGTACAATGAAGAATTGCGGTTCCCGAAAGCATTAAAACTGCGGTACTAAAGTATCAATCTCCAGAGTCTGCATTATATTACAGGATAATAAGTCCAAGATTTCCGCGGCGAAAAGAAAGCTCACTCTTGAGGAATTGTATTCGTACTTATCTCAGGCTATTGTAAAGATAACGAGAGACAACAAAGAATGAGCATAGTGGAAATTAAAGTGTACATACCAGTTTGATTTAGGTGAACCCAATGGAAATGATTATAGTTTAAGGCGACCTCGAGGCTTCAAAACGATATCAAGATATGTTGCGTTTCCATGTCCACCTCCCGCGCTCCATGTTTTCAAAGAAATTTTGTGTGTACATCATAGTATGACTCATGTGTGTGCGCTAATAACAGCATTTACAATTATAGGCAGTAGTTTACAGCTACTCGTTGCACCATGTATAAAATTGCTACGGTTCGAAGAGTGGAATTAGTCAAAATGGGGATAATCGTTTGAGGACGGACAACGGTTAAGAATTCCTGGGTGAAAGTCCGTACGCGGAACGTGTTTTCTCTGCAGTATGGCTGCTATGCGTGTTCCGTAGTTGTCCGTGGACTTTTGAATTTTGGTTGACTTCCTGCCCTGTGTGCCTTTGTATATATAGGAAGGTATAAGATGCATACAATACATAGAATCATTCGGACGCGTACAAAACGGGAGCTGACTTGTTGGTCTAGGTTGCAAGCGGTAATGGAATTTGTCACATGATTTGTGCGTTTGCTGAACAAACGAGTCGCGCGATCTAGTGAGTACGTATGTACTAGACAAATTAAGCGAATCTAGTTGAACAAACAAGGAATTGGACGATGCGCATCAGCGTTGACGTAACCCAGTAGGTATTCACTACTCTGATAATGTGAGTATGCGCAAATCTAAAGCTGTTCTGCAAAAACCTGGTCAAATTTTCTTTGTGGAACTAAACCTTTACGCTTCTTTTATACGAAACTAATCTTCACAGATTCACAGTTGTTCATATTTGCCTAACTCCTTCGCAGTTTAATTGTCTCCAGTGCAATGAATCTTTGATACATGTGCGTTGTTCCTGTGAAACGGATATTGCAGCTAGTAAGGTTCAGGTATAACATGGATTAATGACAGGTTAGTGACGACACCTAAGTGTATAATCTACTTCACTTCACGGAATGATCGGTTGTGATGTCGGTTGCGCCTGCAGTTTTCCCACGTCACATGTCCACGCCAGCGTTCCGCAACACTGAAATCCTGATGTAGCATTCGCTCGTAACTGATGTCTTGAAAATGGCGATGAACAATAATCACCCCGCACGCATAAGTTTAGGTGACAGCATTTGTTACTTAAACGCCGGGCACCCTACTTTGTATACGGTTTGCTCGTCCCTTTTTCTGCTAAATTGTTCTAAATCGTTCTTTTCGAATCCGGCGCCTGTTGAGACGATACGTTTTACGTTTAGAATTGTATTCTCTGTGGTAGCCAGTTTGATGCTGCGCTGGACAGTCATTACCATTATTTTGCAGCTTGGCAACCTTTGGCAATTTACAACCAAAGACTTCATTATATGTGGACGATCTTGCAACCTGCTGTTCTGAGACGGTAAATTTTTTGTATGATGACTATATTTTGTCTGACAAGTGGAATCAAATTATGCTAAAAAAAACTCTGGAAGCACTGCAATGTTTCACTCTTGCACTTCTCACGGATCTCTAGGGAGTGATTTACCAGTTAAAAACTCAGAGCTGTACCGTTCCGTCATGAGTTCTTGATACCTATGCGCAGTGCCTCGGTGATGCGAAGAGTCTACTGTTGTTCCGCCGAGCTAGAGGTGGCTCAAGATTTTCAAAATCCACTCCAGATGGTCACCTGCTTGCAAGTGGATTTGTCGACCGATTAATTGACCTGCGAAGGCGCGGTATGCTTGTGCTGCAGTTAGGTCTATGGTGATAGAACGAAATTATAGAATGGTTTGTTCCATCCGTAATGTTTCGTCACTGTGACGCGTCGGTACCTAGGGGAGACGTGACAGATACTACCACCCAGCTAGAGTAAATTGAATCGGACACTTAGTGACAGATGAAACAGAAGCTGAGTACGATAAGAAAAACTAGCTGCACACTCGACAAGCACAAATAATTGAAAGACGGAAGCTCCGTTGAATTTGGGTTCATTCATTTTGCTTTGTAAAGCCAAATTGAGAGCAGACAGATGGACGAAAGCAACCCACATAGTCTAGGAAAATGACGAGTGCTTGGAAGTGTCCTCAAATTAGCAAATTCTGCACGTAACTTCACTGGTCACTGTTATAGGTATAGACCACCGGTAAAACAGCACACCGCTACAATTCACAACCTCCCAGTGCCTCGTGGGGGTAATTTATGAAATTTTCCCTCATAGCTTTAAAAGAGAAATGTCAGATAGATCTAGATTTGGTGGTGCGTATCTACTGATGACGTGGTATATCACCTAGACATTCTGTTTCCTTGTTATAGCAATGTGGTGTTAACTTATCTTGTTTCAGAAGTAAACATTCCAGTCACGGGTGTGTGGGAGGAAATAATTTCCCCGTATTTGGTGGGCGAAACAACATGCGTGCATATTTTTCTTACGGGAGTTGGAAGTCATTTTGATGGCGCTCATGCCAGGATTCGAACCGGGATCACTGTACCGGAATTCCATGGTGTGGACCACCGATCTTCCCAGGAAAAGTGCTGTGTCACACTTAAATACACATAAACAGCCATTCTCACCCTCCAAAGAAGTGAATTCATACTCTCCGACTTCCTCCACAACGTGAGCAACATACTAGGTTAAACTGACTGTATACTTCATGTGTTGTGTGTGTCAAAATGAGGTAGGGATAACTTTGGCTTTGTTTATACGTGACAATTAGATGAACGGACATAGAGAATATGAAAGGATGTATGTATCTTGGATCACATGATCACTTTCGAATATGATTTTTGGATTTACTCATGCCATTAGGTATGTAAAAAGTCTTATTCGGCTATCTCCATAGTTCTGTCAGTTTGGGTTTGATGGCTTCAGTCAGATAACACCCTCGAAAGTGTCACTTCAGTTTACCTTGGATGGGATGTCAGTTGGCTCCTAATTTGTCGACGACATCCACTTGATCCTGACTGGGATCAGAGGTTGCAGGGATTGTGTAGATTGTGGAAGACAAACGAGGAATAGAATGTGAGGTTAAAAAACAGCCGGAAACTTCATGGAATGACCAGGTCATTGAGGGTAGTAGCAATGAATGCTTTGGAGTTTGTGTGGAATCGTCTTGACCACAGTGATGAGCTATTAGCTAAGTTACTGAATATAACTTTCTTCTTGACGCGAAAGTGAGTCTTTTGTGAATAAGAACACAGATGGGTTGACGAACATGTTTTCGGCAAGGTCTTTTCAAGTCATACAATTGCAAAGGTTAAGAGAGCGGTATTTAACATATTTGAATGAGTATGGTGTAAATGGACAGGGAATCGAGTGAGATGACACTGGCTACCTATCAAAGAACCATTAGTTCAGGTCGCCAATACGATGACTTGAGCTAGTCAGCTCGGGGGGTGTTGTAGTTGTGTGTTCAGCACACGATGCACGTGTGGGGGGAGGTGAGTTGGACCATGGTAAGTACAACACACGAACAAAGCGTTTTTGCCGACAAAGGATCGGGTCGCGATGTCGTATGGCGATAGCTTCAGCCACTGCAATTGTGCGCTGCTGTACTGATCTGGGTTGGTTAGCCGGCGCCTTGTAAACAACGCGGAAACTTTGGCTGGGTATCACGTTGTGTGCAGTGTCGGCTAAATGTTGTACTACGGAACTGGTTATCGTCCTCCTGGTTCCAGAAGCTAGCCAGGGTGGATTGTGTTCCTTCATTCTTTGGCTGAGTTGCCTAGTCGTGCGTCCGATGTATTCCGCTGCACAGCAGCAAGAGAATGAGTAAACTAACATATTTTGGGCGTGGACCGGCACTCTATCCTTGAGATTAAAGGGGCACAAACGATTGCTGGTGAACCAGGTTC